TGGAGCCGTCGCTTCTGTTGCTTTCTCCTGGAGCTTGCTTCCCATGCCTGTCTTACATAGGTAGGCAAACCAGCAATAATGGAAAGAAAACAGGATTGAATAAAAAGAAAAGTAATAAAATAATAACTAGCCCAAAATCCCACCTAAACATACACCCATATGTAATCTTATTGAAAGTATTTTAATAAGTTCAGATCTACATCTAGGCAATGTTGGTACTTCATTACTTAAAACTGATGTAAAAATTGGATAAATAGGATGGATGGTGTTGGAATTTCTATGGCCATGTACAGTTAGCAAGATCTTTATCACAGCTATTTAGTCTTCTTCAGAACCAGTTTGTTTCTTTAGATATTGGAAGACTTGGTAATGAAAATTAGAGAATCAGATGTCTAAGATAGAAAATTTTTTATTTTAATTTCAGATTGTCCAATTTATTGTCACATTGGTTCAGAATAACCAACTTGTGAGTTTAAAACGTAAAAGGTAAGTCTTTATGCCAATACATTTTAACCTGTATGTAGACAACCAATGTAGAATGTAACCATGAGTGATCTCCATTTGTGGAATTACTCTCTCTCACTAAGTTAAGCACTCAATATTTCGAGAATGCTATCTCCTCTTTCTGTCATCCTAATGTTTTTGAGAGATAATAGTACCCTTTCTGGATACTATACAGGCATAGTCACTCACAGTGACCCTAAAGAACAGGGTAGAACTGCCCGTGAATCTGAGATGGTAACTTTACAGGAATAGAAAGCATGTCTGTTTCCAAGGACCATGTGGATCGCAGTCCAGTAGGTGATCGTTCTACCACCATAGGGTTAATAAGAATCGATTTTGCAATCAAGTTCACGATTTAATATGCTCTTTTCAGAGACCTCCATGGAAATTCTTAAGAGTTGAAATTAGGCTATTTGTTTGAAATATATTAGTTCACTCATAAAAGTACTTTTAAATATATCTTAAAACCATGGGTTTTGATACCTACAAATAATAGTTGCTACCAAAGAACAGTGGCTAAAAGGAATAACTGGGAGAAAAAGATTACTTATAAGGCTAAAATTTTGTCAGAACTTGATTATGATCAAAGCTTTATGATCTTCCTTCTACTTCCACTAAGTTCTTATGATACTATACAGTTGTGCATATCAGTCCACAGTGAACGTATATGGAGGGAGGAGTTTTTTATAAAAATATTAAACAATGGAAAAATATCTTTAAAAGTTTTATTCATTGTAGTAATGAATAAAAATTTTCTCATGTATCTCTATTTGAATTCATTATTAAAATGAGTATATATTTAAAATTTTTAAAGCAGTTTAAACTTGTATGTTCACTGAATTACATGAATGTACTTCTTTTTTTTCCCAGACCTCTACTTTTAAATACTAATGGAGCCCAAAAGAAGAATCTGTTTCAGCACATAGTCAAAGAATCAGCTGATAATCACCATCACAAAGTAAATTTTTGTTGTTGTTAAATGCTAATTTATATTTGTTATTATCTTCAGCAGAACTTTATTATAACCATATTTCACGTATAAAATAAATATTCAGTGAATAATAAGTGGTTCATCTTTATTAAATTAATAGTTTTTAAAAATTGATTTCCATCAGCACAGAGGCCATCTACCTGGCTATGCTTGGAATTTCTGATCAAGTATTATGACTTTCTTCTAACCATTTGGGTATTAAAAAATCCAAAAACCCAATGCCATTTATGGAGGGTTTCCAGGAAAGTAAATCTTTACAGAAGCAAATATCCTTATTTTTTTTCCCAAAGGAGCAGCTGATTTAAAGATCTTTTTATGGAAACATTCTGCCATGTTTAATTTTCCATGTTCCCTTATGGCAAAAGTCATTGTCTATGCAACTACTTTTATCTCTGAATTGATACAACGACTACTAATTGGCAGATAAGTCATAAAGACAGAGAATACATCTGTTTTGCTCATAATTGTATCCCCAACATTAAATAAAGAGTGCTTGCTCAATATTTTGAATATGTTGTTAGCTGGTAATAATTTAGATTATTGATTATTTTTCTCTGATATTTCAGGTTCCACATAGTAGAACTGAAGGTTTACAACCAAGGGAACGGATTTCAGATGATATCATTATATATGATGTTACTGATGATAATGCAGATGAAGAAAATATCCCAGTTATTCCAGAAACAAATGAAGATGTCATATCTGATTCCTCAAAGTAAGGAGATTGTGAGATAAAATATATAAAAATCTTGGTCACTTTTATAAATATCAGAGACTTAAATTCAGAACAGCTTTGTTCTTTGATAAACTAATATCAAATTTGTACTTTGGCTATTAAATTGAATAATTAAACTAAGTTATTTACCAAACTTAGGACTCATAAAGAATAAGTAATGAAAATTGAATCTATTTTTTTATCCCCTAGAGCTAAGCACCTTCAATTGAATTTTTTGTCTTATGGTATCATATCCTCTTATGAATATTTATGATTAAGCTACTCCTCTAAGGAAAGATTTCAGGACATAATTTTCTGGAGAATTTAATTTGTCTGAAAAATGTAATTGGGTCTTCTTTCTCATATTGCTGATTGATAGCTGTAGCCAGTACCCTGATATTGTCATTGTTGAAGATGATAATGAAGATGAGTATGCACCTGTTATTCAGAGTGGAGATCAAAGTGAACCAGCCCAAGAGTCTCTAAGTTCAAGCAGTGATGGCACCAGCCCCCTGATGTCTAGTGCTGTGCAGCTAAATGGCTCATCCGGTCTGACCACAGAAGACCCTGTGACCATGATGGATTCCATTTTGAATGATAATATCAATCTTTTGGGCAAGTGAGTGTTAATCAAAGAAAGAATCATCCACTTTTTTTGTTGTTTTTGGGTTTTTTTGTTCACTTCGTGTAGTCTGTTTCTCTTAGAATGATCTTCTTGTCAGATGATGAACACTTGTATGCCACTGTCTTCTATTGTGGTCAGAGTATAAATATTCAAGCAGTATTTTGAGAAAGATGTATTCATACCATGAGCATTTGGGGATTGTCTTAGTAGTTTCACAAATTTGTTTAATTAAATGGCTGTTTTGAATGTCCATATGATTGTGTTATGAAGCAGTATTTTCTCTGTTAGAATTTACTGTTGTATAGCTAAAAGAAAACCAGTTATTGGTTATGATAATCAGTAAAAAGGTAAATATTTTTAAACCTCGAGTGTGGAAGAACCAGTATATCAGAATGTTGTTGCAGTAACTTCTTACCATAAATACATTAATTTTGTATGAAAGCTCTGAGCACTTAAGTAAACAAATATTCAGAAATCCTACATCTTTAATAAGAGCTTTTGAGATGAAAAATGGTTAGGATTCACTAATTGCTAGGAATATTTCTATATTATTTTAAACAGATCAAGGAAACAATATTTGATTTTTTTTTTTTTAATCTTTTTTCCTTAGGGTTGAGCTGTTGGATTATCTTGACAGTATTGATTGCAGTTTGGAAGACTTCCAAGCCATGCTGTCAGGAAGACAATTTAGCATAGACCCAGATCTTCTGGTTGATGTAGGTACTTTGGATAACCTTTGCTGCACTGATATTTTGTGTGTTTATGTATGTGACTTATATATCAACATAGCATTTTCTTCTCATGTATTCACGCTGTTGTTTTTGTATTTTCTTTCTTTAAAAAAAATGAATGGTTTACCATAAAGCAAAAACAGATGTGTTCAGGACATTGAAGGAGGGTGATCAGTACCCGACTGTTGAGCAGTTCAGTTAATCCCCCTGTATCAACCTAGCAACTCTATTCACCCATACTGTTAAATCCAGGTCTTGTCTGGACTTGTTCTTTTTTGTTTTGTTGTAGAATAAATTGTTATTGAATAGAAATCTGGAAGAAATTAGCATTTAGCTAGGAAAAAGCATGGAGACAATACTTACAGAATTAACATTTTTCCTCTGAAAGTATTAACTTGAAAAGACTTGCTACATTTTAAAAATCTGTGTTTTAGAGTCTGGTTTCCCTGCTGCAGTAAGCCACTTTCTTGCCATCTTTCCACTTACTGCAACCACCATTCCCCCAATACCGTCCTTCTTTACCTCCTTTCTGTATAACCAGATTATCCCCCTCAGCTGAGCCCTTTTCTATCCTCTATGTTTTCCTTATTGTTTTGAACTAGAGTTTTCCTTTATCCTGGTATGTTTTGTTGCTCCTTTATAAGGGGACTTCAAAAAGTTTATGGGACAATTCTGTTATTTGTCATTCTATTTATCCATGAACTTTTGGAAGCCTCTCATATTCAAGTATCTTGCCTTATATACAGCTTCATTTAAATCCAGAGATTTTACAGTTTCACAGCCTTGTTTTCGCCCTCCAGTATTTTTCCAGTCCACGGATTTACCACTTCATCCAACTGTCACTTAGCCAAATCGTTAGTATTTCACTGAATGAATTTTCCCACTTTGAAAATTTTCTTTTCAAGCTTCTTTAGTATCCGTGTTGAAGACTTAGTTCAATTTAGTAGCAGCTAACTTGACAGACTTATGTGACTCGGTCAGTCTTTATTTCTACTGTGATTCCAGGGTTGTTTCTATCCCTTTTATCACCAAGAATTTTTAAAATCTTGTAATTTTAGCTCTTTACAAATCTTTGCAATTTTTAGGTAAGTCATTACTCTATTAATTTTATCCTTTAATTCAACCCTAGAGCAGTTATCATATTTGTTACTCCTTGAGACTTCCAGCCCACTCTACCCAATTCACAGTGGGTAACATACTCATCTCTGGTGTTCTTGTTGCCTGAGACTTTCTCTAATCTGCTATCCTTCTTTCTTTGAAGGACCCATACTTCCTCTTTAGAACCAATTTGTATACCTGCCCTCTGCTTCTCTAGTTTTTTTCTCTTTCCTTTAGCAATGCTACCTCTTTTTAAACTATTATTTGTACTGAAGGCTTGTGTCATCTTGCTTATTCACTCTAACCCTGTGCTTTGTGTGCTCGCCTAGTTCATTTGTAATAATCAGTCCGCGATTTTCCTAACAAATCAGGTCACCAGGCTGGTAGAAGAAGGTTTGTTTTGAGTCAAATAGATCTAGGCACTATAATTGACTTAGGTTACTTATTAGCTATGTTACTAACCATTGGGGAATTAGCTTTTCTTGCTCAGTTTTTTCATCTATTAAATATGGCTAATACCTAATATGAAAGGTTCTTGTGTGGATTATAAATAAATAGCATTGTTAATACAATTGAGTGTTCCACAACAGAACTTTTTCTGTTTATTCTGGAAGCACAGGGTCTGTGGTCTCTGTTTTCTCTTCCTATTTCTGATCATTATTTTTACTAAAGGACTTTTCTTTTTCTTAGTGTCTTCCACTTGTGGATAACCTAACCTGAAAGGTGCTCAGGTTTTTTTTGTTTTTTTAAATCATCTTATTGGGGGCTCCTACAACTCTTATCACAATCCATACATACATACATTGTGTCAAGCACATTTGTACATTAGTTGCCATCATCATGCTCAAAAAATTCTAATTTTATATCTTTTGAAACTCTCTTGCCCTATAAATCATCAGATTTTCTTATGAATTATTTGTGTTTCTTATAAAATCTTTTTCTGTAAACGGGGTACTCTTTATTTTCGATAGTGCTATACCTTTCTTAACTTACCCTGGATACATACTTATTACTGGATCACTTTAGTTTTCACATCTTTATCTTACTATACACCAAGCCCTATGTATTTCCCAAATTAGCACTTATAAACCACCCTCACGTTTTATTTTCACTTTGTCTCTCTCATTTAAGACTTTATTATTTTATCTCTGCATTATGTTTTAATATCCAACTAAAATTTTTTTTTTACCTTTTCTCTAAAATGGCAGGATAATAAGGACATGAATAAGTGCTGAGTGTTAATGGGTACTCTCTGCAGACTTTAATATTAGAGCACTCAGGTGAGAGTCAGCAGCAGGACCCTGGCCTTACTATTTATTCAATTGTTTCAGCTTCTAATGCAAAGCTACTGTTTTCTACTTCATACCATTTGTCCACTAGGAATATTGTTTGGTGTCCTTAAGATATGAGATGGGGAGGGTAGGTGTGGTTAGGAAGGGAAGAGGAGAGCTTATATGGCTGACCCTCTTCAGGTTACCACCCTCAGTGGGGATATTATATGGTCAGGCCATGAGGTTGTGGCAAGCTGAACTGGTAGACATTACAATTAATGCCATGTATCTGTGAAGGGGTGAGTGAAATGAATAGGAACGTATAGGAAAGGAGAAATAATGTCTAGAAAAGATGGAAGAAGTCTGTCTCTTTCAATCCTGTGATACTAGGCATGTTCATTCTCAAAAGTGCTTGTTAAATCACTATATTTTATCACTCAGATCATTTCTAAGTTTTTTACTCCAAACAGGTTGTGGCCTCATCCACTGACTGACCTCACTCGGTGTTTTGAGACTTAATTATACAACTTCTTATCCAAGCAGGAATGTTTATATTAGTTAGACTATGTATTGAACATTCTCTGTAACCATTTCTCCTCCTCTGTTGTTCCTAATGCTATACCAGTATACTTTTCTTTCCATCCTCTTCCTTCCAAGTCCTAACCATTCTGCAGGGATTGACATGTTAAGTAGCTTCACCAAGGCGTGTGTGTGTGTGTGTGTGTGTGTGTTTTCTCTTTATTTCTTAGTACTTTTGAGCCCCACTAGCCATTGTTGTAATATTGAGTTATATCTGATTATATGTTGCTCTTTGATGTTTGTTAGATTGTAAGTTCCTGGAAAGCAAGAATAGTGTTTTCTTGTATTCTTTGTGCCTCCACTTAAATTTTAGATACACGGTAAATCTCTCTGAAATAAATTAATTGGAAGCTTAATGACTTAAGCAGAAGTTATATATGCACTGATTGGATTGAGTTATGCTGGATGCAGTGACCTGATAGGTGTGATGAAAAGAACTAATCAGTGCCATCAGGACTCCTCTTGAGCTATAGTTTAGGAACCACTGTCATAGAGCAGGATCTGTAATCATGTCACCGCGTTAGCAGTATGAAGTGAAGGTTTCCTGTCAGGGTAGGGAGTTCAGCTACTTCCTTGGCCAGGGGCATTTAAGAAAAAAAGTAAAGGAAATTGCATGAAGAATAATGAAGGATAGGGGATGTGGGGAGAACCACTGTTGGTCTGATGTTTTATAGAGCCTTTCTTATAAGATTTTATTTAATACAAGGCTAGCTTGTTCTGTTTTTGTTTTGTTTGTTTTTTTGAGTTGCTGCTTTTCTCTTTCAAACTTGTTTGACTGTATGGGAACTTCTCTAGTGTAGGAGCTTCATCTCTTCACTCAACATGGCTGTTTGAAAATTATGAACACACAATTCTTTTAAAATATTTTTTAAACTTACGATCTTTCTTGTTTGGTCTTTCAGCTTTTCACTAGTTCTGTGCAGATGAATCCCACAGATTACATCAATAATACAAAAGTAAGTTTTAATTCATGTTGCTCAGGACCCATAGCTGTAAGAATCCGGGGGAAAAAAATCTTAGTAAGTAAGAGCAATATCTATTACTCCCACTTACAAAAAGCATTTTTTTCCTTCCTCATATGTATGATCAAGATAATAAAAATTCTAGATTAAAAACTAGGTTTTTATTATGTGATGAATCATTGCTAAAGTCTTGATCTTGATGCTTTGGAGAATAACTATCAGTAGGAAATTGGCCTACTAAATGCTAAAAGGTCATTTGGCTAAACTTGGGAGTAATTCAGGCTTCATTGAAATGAGTTCTCAAAATATTTTTTCTTGTCTCATGTGCCGTGTTATGCATTATTATTCTTTCCATACACAAATTCTCAGCATTTGAACTTAAAATTTTACTGGTGCCCATATTCTTTTACAAATCAGTGCAGTCAGTTCAAGAATGTGTACATACTGAAGTTAGACGTCTAAGTAGAAATGGCATTAGAAATTTGGGGCTTTGTTTTTAAAGCGATAGTTTTGTTGTATTTCTAAATGTTTATGAACTCTACTTGGACTTAGCAAATTTTGAGGTGCTCACAAGGGAGTCTTTAGAACTGGTTGTGCTTTTGTGTTTATTTTTTCATTTTTCAAAGGAAAATTTGATATTGAGCATTTGCTTATGAATGGCTTATTATTTTATATGATTTGTTTTCTTGAATAGCATATGGTCCCTATATTTCATATTTGAGGAGTGTGTTAGACTAGGTTGACTAGAGAAACAAATCTAGAGATACTCATTTATGTATAAGAAAGAACTTTATATCAAAGAGTAATTATAAAGAAAACATCCCAGCCCGGTCCAGGTCAAGTCCATAAATCCGATACTAGCCCATAAATCCCTCTTCAGACTCACACAGAACATGCAGTGATGCCAAATTCAGGAAGATCACAGGCCAGTGGGTGTCAAGTATTGTGGATCCAGTGGTGGTGGAAGCATCTCCAGGGCTCTCGCTGCCATCAGCGTGGCTCGAAGTGGCTTGTCAACGGGAAGGTAAAGCAGAGAGAGAGAGGGGAAGTTCCTAGGATCCTCCTTATTGAAAGGTCACACCTACCAAGAGGCATTGTCAGGCTGTGACCTGATTGACAGGCTAGACTCTACCCCTACATTCTTTAAAGTTGACATGAAATTATGTAACTACCTCAAGGTAGTTTAGTAGTGCAGTGGTTAAAGCCCCAGGCTGTTAACTAAAAGGTCAGCGGTTCAAACCCACCAATTGCTCTATGGGAAAAAGATGTAGCAGTTTGCCTCCCTAAAACTTTTGTCTTGGAAACCCTATGGGGCAGCTCTGCTCTGTCCTGTAAGATTGCTACAAGCCAGAATCGTATATACTAAGTTACTGTGGGCCCTTTTTTTCATTGAATAGAAAAGTAAATCAAGTTAACTGAATATTTGTGCAAATTTCAAATTAATAGAATTTGAATTCTATCCTAATTCTTTTTCTAATCTGAATATGAGCACATCTCAAATAAGAGTTTTTAAGGTTGAGGAAGTGCTTTTCTTACTGTTGTCATATATGAGGATAGCCTGAATAGTGTAGGCCTTAAATAACATGTGAGCTGATTATACAATCAATATGTAGGTGATTTATATCAGGGGTTGGCATACTTTTTCTGTAAAAGGCCAGCCAGCTAGTAAATACTTTCAGTTTTGGGGGCCATATGTTCTTTGTTATTACAGCTCTGCCCTTACAGTGCAAAAGCAGCAACTGATGAGAGTAAAACAATGTGTGTGACTGTATTCTAATATTTTATTTACAAAAACATACGGCAGCATGCTGGATTTGGCCTATGGAACATAGTTTGTGGGTTTTAAGGGACCACCTCAGCTTTATGTTTCAGTAACTATCATATTATTGAGTGTCAGTCAGCCATGGATAGGCTTTCTGCTGAATGGACTTTTATCATACATTCATGTAGTGGATGTGCTCGCTTTGTTTATGGCTAGACATTAAGTCATTATTCTTGGATCATTTTCCGTATTCCAAAGAAGCAAGAGCTTAGACAAATTTTTAGAAATAGCTACTAAACAGATATTTGCATATTCTTGTACAATACTGTGAAAAATTAAATCTGAGAATGGCTTTTCTTTATAGTTTGTCCTAGAGTCTAATTGTTGGCACATAGGCTGCCATTCTTTTCTCATGAGAGATGTCTTACAAACAGCACTCTTTAATAAATGAGGATGCCTTATACTATTCAGTACAGCAGTGGATAAAAATTTAAGAGTGGAAAATCATTTGTCATCCTAGTTCTCATCCACTTTAGAGCAACAGTGACAACCTTGGCTGTTACCTCTTTTAGAAAATAGAGAAAAAGTAGTATTGTGTTAATGCTATGTATTATGAATGCTAAATGAAAATATTTTTATGATACGTGTAATCTTTTAAGGTCTAAAGTTTTATTCTTTCTAGGGAACATTCTCTTCTCTGAATCCTGGACACTTGTACTACTTCAGTGTATGATAAATATCAGAGGAATTATAGAAAATAGTTTACAGATGTTTGTTGTAACTTATAACTAGCTAGCTTGCAAATATCCTGGACTAACAACTGTTTAAGGAAAAAGGGAAACCTTCTACGTCCAGAGCCTGATCATCTTTGGGAAGAGCCCTGAAAAACTTTAAGACATTACAGGTTAAATCCTCTCACAGTCAGACGTAAGAAGAGGAAACAGTGGTTGAAAGAAGCAAGTTAAGTGACAGAGTCAGAAAAAGGAAAACAAGAACACCATGGCAGTTGTGAGGCTTCAAGTTTAGAGATAGTTTCAAAGATCACGCCATACAGCTTGTCCGGAGCTATTCTAAATATGTCCTCTTATGTTAAGTAGTGTTTATTATTGAAGGGAAACATGAGAATATTATTAATCAGTATTTAAAGTAAATTCAGTTCCTTCAACTTTAATAATCTAATTAGCGTGTTAAAACCAGTCATCTGATTCATTTTTGTCTTTTACTCTTAACAAATTCTGTGTATTCCATTAAATCCCCTCCTCTTCATACTTAGCATCATCGTAGTTGAGGTTTTTGTTTCCTCCCCTTGATGATGATAGTTTCTTAACCTGTCTATTCAAAACTTTCTCTCTCTAGTCCATATTTCCAGATGCCTCCATTTCCTATATTTTTCAGATGATGTACTCATATATTATACCCTCTCTTTATATATATATAAAATATGAACCATAGAAGTTTTTTTTTTCTTTTAGTCAGAGAATAAAGGATTAGAAACTACCAAGAACAACGTAGTTCAGCCCGCTTCAGAAGAAGGAAGAAAATCTAAACCCAAAACAGGTATGTATAGATGTAATACTAGTTTCTGTAGCTTTTACAAGTCGAGTCCTTCATAGCAACAGATGTCAGCCAAGGGAAGTCTTGGTATAATTAACAATTGAAATGTCCAGTAAACTGGCTTAGGTTTGCAAACAGTGTCAACATTCCAGCATATCTACATAGTTGAATGAGTGAGGTAACTGTTCTTACTGTTTAAGTCATGGGTCTTTTGCCCTCTATTTAAATTTAGGAGAATGAAAAGTACCCTTATTTCTTAATTGTTCAATAAAAGATTTAATTTTTTGACTTGCATTTTTTAGTTTACTAACTACCATAGTTTCTTGCTTTCCATATAAAGGTAGTAATACATGCACATTTTTCCTTTTTCTCCCCCTTCAGCTGGTAATAAAAAACTTTTCTAATCATTGTAGATCAGCAACTTATCCAATACACTGCCTTTCCACTCCTCGCATTCCTTGATGGGAACCCCGCTTCTACTGTTGAACAGGAAAGTACAACAGCAGCATCAGAAGCTGCATCTTCTGTAGAGAAACCCATAGAAATTGATGAGCTCCTGGAAAGCAGCCTGGATCCAGAACCAACCCAAAGTAAGCTCGTCCGTCTGGAGCCACTGACTGAAGCTGAAGCTAGTGAAACCACGCTGTTTTATTTATGTGAACTTGCTCCTGCGCCTCTGGATAGTGATATGCCACTTTTAGATAGCTAAATCTTCAAGAACTGGACTTTGTGTATATATATTCATCAAAATGATGAATTATTTATTTAAAGTATCATTTGGTACTTTTTTTTTTGTAAATTGCTTTGTTTTGTTTAATCAGATACTGTGGAATCTAAAGCACCTTTTGCTTTTCTCACTAACGACATACTTTTTTTTGCAAAGCTGTCATGTTACTCAGCTAAATAGGTACACAAGATTCAATGCACAATATTGGCATATCTTTTTAGTTGAATTTAAATGGCCATTTTTCTCCAGTTGCAGTAAATTGGATTTAATTTTTACATAAAAACCCACTAACCCCAGTTTAAACTTTCGTTTGTTTATTTTACTTGTTTGAGATGTCTGATTTCATTGAGTGTGGGTCTCTAGAACTAATGGTAGGACTCTTAAAGCTTTGTCTGTTCTCGTTAATTTTATTAAATATTTTTCATTTTGCTTATTTTTAAAACTGGGAACATAAAGTGCCTGTATCTTGTAAAACTTCATTTGTCTATCTTGGTTCAAAAAAGTTTTATTTATGTTCAGAACAGTTCATGTTCAACAGGGAAGGCAAAATGTACATGGGTGGCTCATTCTCTGATAGGATTCCAGCTTCATCTGCCTGGAAGAAAGAAAGAAGGGATGGGATGAAGTCAGCCCCATCTGACCCTGTTGGACTAGTTTTAAGTAAACATTTTCTGATCTGTTTGTGTTTTATTGAACCATCCTTAGTCAAATAAATATAATGAATGTTGAGTACTAGTGTTGGTTATGTGTCTTTTCGAGATATGTCTTTAGCATTTAGAGTAACCATAAGACAGATCTACTAAGTAAAATAGGGGAATTGATCTACAGCATTCCCAGGTCCAGTCTGTGAAAGCTGCCCTCATATATCCAACACATTCTTTCCCCTTCTGGCATGATGCAAATTATTAGATTATAAGTATTCATTGACTCCTTTGTTTAGGCTTTTAGTCTGAAAATGCTTCTAAGCTATGCATAAGGTTTCAGTGGCTTTCTTTGATGTGGGGCGTATTAGTCTGGGTACTTTAGAGAAACAAATCCACAGAAACTCATGTATAAGAGAGAGTTTTATATAAAGGTTAAGTGCGCACCAAGAAAACATCCCAACCCAGTGCGGCCCAAGCCCACAAGTCCATCATTAACCCATTAACCCATATGTCCAACACCAATCCACAGAGTCCTCCTCCATCTCACAAAACAGACACAATGATGCCGACTGCAGGAGGAAAGCCGAGTCAGTGAATGTGTAACCGTCTCAGCACTGGCAGGGGTCTCCACATGGCTGCTCCAGCACCCAGGGCTGTATCAGGGTAAGTCCATGTGGCTTCTCCTTGGGGATGGCTTGCTGGAAGTTAGCTTTGCAAGCTGAAGCTGGGAACCGCTAAGGCAGCTGCACCCTGGTGCAACCATCAGAAAGCAAGAGACCCGAGAACTAGAAAGGCGAGGCTCACAGTCATTTTTCCCTCCCTCCGCCCTTCAATTAACCCCATATATGTTTATCAGCCAGGTTGGCACAATAAACTAACTAACTCATGGGGAGTCGGGTCCTTTCTTGTCTCTTCTTAGTCTGCAAGCTTCATTGAAACCTGTTCACTTTGGGTAACCCTGCCGGCATTTGAAATACCAGTGACATAGTTTCCAGCATCACAGCAACACACAAGCCATCAGAGTAAGACAAACTGACAGACAAGATATCACTTATATCACACACAAGTAATAGTTTACTTAAGATCATCCTACAACGATAACAGCACATTGATAGGGAACTGCCAGAAGTTCAGGCAGATTCAGAAGAGGACGTGGAACAAGGGCTATCATTGCTGATGTCAGATGGGTCTTAGCTCAAAGCAGAGTATACCAGAAAGATGTTTACTTGAGTTTCATAGACTACAAGGGCATTCAATTATGTGGCCTTAATAAACTTCAGATAACCTTGAGAAGAATGGGAATCCAGAACATTTTATCATCCTCTTTTGGAACTTGTGCTGGATCAAGAGGCAGTTGTGGGAACTGAACAAGGGAATACTGCATGGTTGAAAATCAGGAAAGGTGTGTTTCAGGCTAGTATGCTCTCATCATACTTGTTCAATCTAAGTGCTAAATGAATCATCAGAGAAGCTGGATTATATGGAGAATTGGAGGAAGGCTCATTTCAAACTGATGCAAAACAACACAACCATGCTTGCTGTAAGTGAGGAAAAATTAAAGCACTTGGCTGATGAAGATCAAGGATTGCAGCCTTCAGTTTGGAAAGAATTCTTGTAACTGGACCAGTAGATAACATCATACATGATACATAGAGAAAAGGTTGAACTAAAAGATTTTACCTTCATTGGATCCAAAGTCAAGTCTCATGGAAAACAGCAGTCGAGATTAAAAGATGTATTGCATTAGGTAAATCTACACAAGACCTCTAGAGTATTGACAAACAGGGACTTTACCTTGAAGAATTAGGTGCACCTCACCCAAACCATGGGATTAAACATTGCATCACGTACATGTGAAAGTCGGACATTGAATAAGGATGACTGAAGAAGAATCGATGCCTTTGAATTGTGCTGGAGAAGAATATTGAAAATACCATAAACTGCTAAAAGGACCAAAGGTCTGTATCGGAAGAAGTGAGGCAGAGTACTCTTTAGAGACAAGGATGGCAAGACTTTGTCTAACATACTTTGAAGGTGGTATTAGGAGAGATCAGTTCATGGAGAAGGATATCATGTGTGGTAACGTAAAAGAGGAAAGGCCATTAACAAGATGGATTCACACAGTGGCTACATAAGTGGGCTCAGACACGAGCTATTGAGAGGATAGTGCAGGACCATTCGGTGTTTTGTTCTGTTGCGCATAGATATGTCTCTAAGGGTCTGAGTCAACTGATGGCACCTAACATTCATTCATTCATTCAGAAACCTAGCTTCCTGAATCACTGCTTAAAGGAGAGCCGCCCATCAATCCTGGACACCTGTTTGAAACATGAAATGAGGGAACCTCCTTTTGTTATGTTCTGCCTCTATTTTTGGAGTTGATTGTGATAGCTTTTAGCACTTACCAATAAAATATGGTATAAATTTTGATGAACTTATAATAAAATATATATCATTTTGTCAGAAATACATCTTTTATTGGAATAAATAGGGCTTAGATTTTTTTAAATCATTTTATTAGGGGTTCATGCAACTCTTATCACAATCTATACATGGCTTAGATCTTTTAAAGTTATTTTTATGTGATTTACTCAGTAGTAAGGATTATGAAGTAACAATTTAAGAGATCGATTTGCCCTTTTTTAAAATGACAATGCATATTCAAAACATTCTTGATTTGGACTAGTAAACCATACAGCAAATTGACATTGAAAACTAAAGTCTGTTTTGGGTGCCAATAAAATGAAATATGAAGGAAAATAGATTTAGTAAAATAAGAATTGTCAAGTATGTATATTTTAGTCTTTGGGGATGAAGTACTAGATCATACTTAAACATTGTTCCAAAGCCTGTATTTGATTTCTTACTTTATTAGACCCTCTAAGATTCCATACTGTATTCTCAATTATCTCTTGATTGAAATAAGGATTTTTATCTTTTCAACTAACTGTATTTGTTATTGTTGCCTTTTGTTGTTTTTATTTTTGACTACTACTGACAGTGGATTTATATTTTGTTCCAAGACACTTGAACTGAGGGTCTAAACAAGAAAAAAAAACACCTTGAATTAGCAGTACTCTTCTTGTGTATATCATATCTATGATTCTTATGTTCTTCCTGAAATCGGCTAGAATGGTGAAATACTGATGTAGTATTGCTATTTAAAATTTTTAAATTGATGTTTCTAAAACTAACAAGAATTCAATCACTTGTTTGATGCCATACTATATGTCAATATGTCAAAATTGGTGGAAAATGTTTCATACAACTATAAGGAAAAGCCTGTACCTTAGAGAAAAGAAGAAAGCCAACATAAGATAATTTCTATTGAAGTAATACAAGAAAATGCTCTCCAATGGTGCGGTGACTTAAGTATTGGTGGTTTGAGCCCATCAGCAGTTCCTCTGTGGGGAAAAGATGTAGCAGTTTGCTTTGGTAAGGATTTAAAGTCTTAGAAACTCTTGACCATCTGATTAGTAATTGTAACCCATCCTACCGAGCCACTGGGCGTTGTCATGGACTCGGCGGCAGCAATTGGAATGCAAGAAAAGACTTGGCTTATAAGCTGAAACACGACTCTAAGGTACCCTTAATGCTATCACAAGAGCAACCTGAGCACGTGGCACACAGTGATCAGCCAAACAAGCTAACTTATCTGCCAACATTGTAACTTCTAATACTCTCACCCCTCAAAAAAGCATCTCTTTTCTTTGCTGTTATATCTTCAAGCTTAGAAAACCAAAACACAAATTTTTTAAGAAAATGCAGATTCTTGAAGACTCTTAAGGTAGTACTGAAATGCAGCACTGGATAGTTGACAGGATGAACATAAAAGGGGAATGAGACAGATTAATCGGAAAAAAACACGTGTTTTTAAAAATGGTATATTGGATCTAACCAAGAATTGTAACTTTGACTCTAAAAGATGCCTTTAGGAGGGTGAAAAGACAAGCTACTGACTGGGAGAAGCTATTTTCCTACCACAATCCAACTCATTGGGCTAGGAGCCCTGGTGGTTAGTGGTTATGCATTGGGCTTTAATCAGCAAGGTCGGTTTAAAAACCACCAGGAGAGAGACTGGGCTTTCTGTTCCCCTAAACAGTTACCTTCTCGGAAATACACAGGGCACGACATTGGTACTGACGCATTGGCAATAAGTTGAGAGTTGTAAGCACATTGAGCTGCTAACTTCAAACTCAGCAATTCAAACCCACAAGTCGCTCCTGAAAAGGAAGATGAGAAGTTCTGCTCCCATGAAGATTTACAGTCAGAATTGACTGATGGCAATGATAGTAGGAAATACTCATTGCACAAAGCATAAAGTGTTCAGCTGCTTGAAGTTGAAGGTTTGTAACCACCAGTGCCTTGGGGGGGTGGGGGTGGGGCTGTCAATCTACTCCCATAAAGATTAAGGGAGAGGATCACGTATCAGGCATCTAAGACCCAGTACAAAATCCTACCCAATGTGAATTGGGAGGGGGCCGGTGTGGAGTGGAGACCCAAACCTCATCTGTAGACAATTGGACATCCCCTCACAGTAGGGTCACAAGGAAGAGATGAGCCAGTCAGGGTGCAGTATAGCACCAATGAAACACAACTTTCCTCTAGTTCCTTAATGCTTCCTTCCCCACCACTATCATGACTCCAATTCTACCTTACAAATCACATTAGACCACAACATGCACATTGCTACAGATAAGTGCCGCAACACAGGAATCCAGGATAGATTAAACCCCACGAGGCCAACAATGAGAATAGCGATACCAGGAGGATAAGGGGAAGGTGGGCAGAGAAGGGAATCGATCATAAGGATCTACATATAACCCCCTCCCAGGGGGACAAACAGCAGAAAAGTGGGTGAAAGGTGACAGAAGACTATGTAAGATAAGAAAATAATTATAACTTATCAAGGGTTTATGAGGGAGGGGGGAAATGAGCTGATATAAAGGGCTCAAGTAGAAAGAAAATGCTTTGAAAATGATGGCAGCATATGTGACCCAATGGATGAATGTATGGATTGTGATGGGAGATGTAAGAGCCCCCAATAA